CGAGGAAGTCGTCTGCATGCTTCGGATGCAAAAGTCACGGATGTCGGCGACAGCTGGCATCCGCAACAAAATTCCCTTTCCAGTTCGATGGTCTAGCCGTGGCATAATGATGATGTTTTTTTTTTTCTGAGACTGACGATGGCGACTGTCAGAGACAAAAACGTATACCGAAGGCGAAGTGGTTCGAGGCATTTTTGTATGCTAGGCCTGCCGCGTCCCCCGCCCCCTTTCCCCCCTTCCCCCCGAGTGGTCGGCGTCATCGACAGGAGACAGCACTTTTTTGAAAGCATCCTTTCCTTGATGGATACGACAGATGACATACCGTCCGTGGAGGAAACATGGGACAGATCGAACATTGTTACGAGGAAGACGCCCTTGAGAGCTGAGTCTAATGAGGAACGGAGAGAAACTTCTTGAAGAGATGTGAAAAGTGTTGTCATTCACGAATGGAAGCCAATTCAGGCTCTCCGGCGAGCAGCGCAGAGTTGCTCCGCTGAATCGAGTTCGATTCGGTGTGGGAACTCATGCGGCCATTGATTCGATGATAATCGGCTTTCGAGCTGAGATCGCAGGAGTTCGGCGGCATCGCTCCCCGCTATAATTAGAAGTCTCGATCTGGACGGAAATCGCTTCGTTGCTGTCCTCGGACTGAGTGAAAAAGAACTTCGAGCCTGAACCGGAGCGAGACGATACCGACGAGGACATGGGCTTCTAGCTAAAATGGCCCTCGACCTCGACGTCCTCATTGTCAGATCCGTAAGTGTGAGCTCCTGCGAGCGTTCCGTCGGCTCAAGAAAACTCAATAAGTTTTAATCACGTGCTGAATACTTCCGCTTTGAGTCGGCAACCATGGAGCGGCTGATAGAAGACGGCGATTTCACATCGAGGGGAACTTTTCACTCGAGATCTCCCCGACCTCTCATCCACATCGTTTAACACGCTCCAAGCGGTCACTGAACTAGTTTTCGTTGAACGTGTCCCGTCGCCGCTGGGCCGTATGGATTATGTTTATGCTCCGACTAAGCCCTTCCTTTGCATACAAATATGCACGTCGGCTAAACACGGATGCAGTGAAATGTTTGTTGCCCGACCGTTAAAACGCCATGCTGCCCGTCACAAACCCAGGCTCAGAGCCAAGGCGCTGGAATAACAGTAACTTTTTTGGGGTCCTACGGGTCTTGTTTCAAGACGGGGCTCGGTCGGCGCTGCCATCCAACAAATGAGAGTCTCTAGAAGGGCTGCCCGTCGGTCCGTAGAGACTCCTGGAAATCACAACGGACGCACCGTGGCCTTTTGACGCATTTATTCGTGGATGCCGGTGAAGGGTGCTGTCCGCACAAAGTCACCGCCGACAAACTTAGCGTTCCTCGAACGGTCAGGTGGGCGCGAGAAATGAATGTCGGCCGCCTGGGCACTGGGCTATAATCTTCCTCCCTCAGCCGCTGTGAACGTTGTATTACGACTAGGCATTAGCGGAACTGTGTCTCGAACAGATGGCGCCAAAAACATGTCAATACCTCCGACAGTCTCCCGGGCACTCGGCGTAATCTTCACGCATACGCCAGTGGTGCGTCGCCGCTGGAGTTTATAAGTTCGGCAAACACTCGGTGTGCGGCTGCGGCAGGGGGCTTCAACGTGAGCTCCAGTGCATATGCAGAGCGACAGCAGCTACTCCATCTATCTATCTATCTATCTTTCACGCAGTCGCAATGGAGAGGAGGACGAAAATGAAAACAGTGAGTCAGTCGAATTTTCCGTTGGGTTTTGCGTGTTCTAGACGCGCCGTCAGAGCTGGCATTTTCCCTCGGCTGCTCCCGTCGCTGCTTCCTTATTCATTCGTGAGGAATTATACGATACCCTGATAGGTGATGGCGGCTCCCGCCTGTAGGGGAAAACACGCATCGACCGAGTGCATACAAGCGGGTTTGTTAGGTTTCCCCGTGGCGAGATTCTGCGGCAGGAGAAATAAAAGATTAGCTCGAAAGCTGACTGCGGTACTTAGTCGTATAACGACTCTCTCGGGTCCATTTTGGACGCACAGACCGATCTACCGTCCGACGGATCCGACGGTAGGACGCGGACTCCCTAATCACTGCAAGCAGTATACTCGTGGCCCGAGTTGACCATCTGAAGGAATCTCCGGAAGAGCTCGCTTCTTTACGGTACTCGTTGTTCTCCGAATTGTTCGATTCCGGTTTACTTTTAATTCGACTCGGAATAACGCGGTTACGGCTGTGGTCGGAGGCGGGCGAGAATTCCATCATAATATATTCGTGCGAATATGTTACGTCACGTCTGCTTTTCCTCTAGAGACCGATTCCGCTCCGTGCTTCGGAATATGAGAGCGACCGCATACGAATAAACACACGAGAGGTCTGGGGGAATCAGGAATCAGTCGAGAAGCCCTGAACCGGGAGGCCTCCTCATGTTCTGTGTTTGACACTGATTTTCCACCGCAATTCATTCCCGACCTCTCGAGTTCGAGGCTGTCTGTCCGTCTTCTCGTTCGCTCTCGGAAGCATCGACAGACCGACGACGTGGCGGTCTTGAGCCGCGGAACGCTGGCCATGTCAAGACTATGCGTGTCTTCCCTTCACCGAGCTGTCAACGGTAATTACAGACTGCAGAGCTGGACAGGTTTGGCTTTCCGGACAACTAAACCGACCGAACAATGTAAACGTCCATCTGGCAGTCATGCGAGGCCGAACCAAGCAAAGCGTGGCAAAAAGTGATTGGCATTTGCTTTGCTGGCCAAAGTTGTCCGTCGATTCTGCTCTCCCTCGTACCCCTCGCGGGGGATCGTCGGATCGAGGCGCGGGCGTCGGAAAAAACGCGCGCAGTTTTTATGCTTCGATCCGTCGAATGATCAAGCACCGTCTACTATCGCCCGTCATCGAAAAACTTCAAATGTTTGCGCAAACTTTTAACGACGGGCCATTGTGCATCCGATCGGCAGACAAACTCGACAAGAGAGTGGGGGTTAGTTTCAGCGCACGCCACGGACAAGACCACACTCTGAAACTTCGGCCGTGCACGGTTGGAATCCCTCAGAATTGCTTCGTGGTATGAAACCCGATCGGACAGGGATCCTTGCGTTCCATTCATGCAAGACTGCGATATTGAGCTTCGGACAGCCTTGGATGCTCCCCGTCAAGTACCCACCGGGAAGAGTCCCGCAGCAGACGCGAATCAGGCGGCATGGAGACGTCAGCCGATCCGTGTCCAAAGCTCCCGAAGAACGAACATTCCCGTCCTGGCTCCAAGGAATCGTAGCTTGTTCAACCTACAATTAGAAGTCCGAAAACGAGTCAATGCATGTGGTCAGGATAAGTTTTCGGTATCTTAGCTCCCGCCATCGGGGCAGGCCATTCATCGGCCACAGCCTCATCGACCGAGGAACATTGTCTCGCCCCGAGAGACCATCGAATTTTTCGGCGAGTTCCGATCGCCGAAGTTCCTCATTTTAACTCTTCCATTTGCAATCATACTACAATATTCGTTCCATCCTCCAATTCTAATTCTCTGGGTCCATGTAGCAGCGGGGACCTTCGCCGGACTCGACGAAAGAGAAGTCCTGCTAGGGTCAACGGAAAGTCGAGTGGTTCGCGCGAATACCTGATAAACTAATAACAGTTTCGGTGAAGTGGTGCTCCTCGTGTCGTGAGTCGTGAGCGACCACTGTGATGCCGTACATTCGTCGTGATTGTCGAATTCGTGAGTGACGCCGTTCGAACTTGAGGCAGCTGAGGCTCCGCGTGACAGTTCCCGTGAAAATTCCCGCCAGGGGGAGCTTCATTCCTTCCTTCCAGCGGACTTTTTCGGCTCCTATCCATCTTGGTCCATTGGCTGCCTTGAGCCCTTCCGAGAATTCGAACATGGCCACCTCCGAAAACCGGTGCCAACGATGGAGAATAGGCCGCGAGAAGGCGTGTCATGTTCAGCTCCTCCCCCCCTCGAATCGCTCCTTCCCCCTCCCCAGTAAAAGCTCGGCAGGTCCCTGGATACCCGGTTCGTTGGCGGGTTCTTCGGCTTTTGATAAATTCAGGGAGGTCCTCTACAGAAAACTCAATCATGAAGCGAGGAAGGCTGACTGAGGGCGTTCCGGAGCGTTCCATTCCGTCGTCATGATAGTATCTACATGGAGCGTTAAAACTCAACAATAGCTCGTTGAGAATTCCATCACGCGTCTCGCCTAGGTTCCATTGTTCGGTAGATGGTGATCCGTAATAGTGGCCGCGAGAGCTCGCTGTTCCGGATATGACCCAGAAATTCATCTTGAGAGGGGAAAATAAATCTAAATCAGCGTATTCTCTCTGATTGAGGAGCTTCCTCTAATGGACGAGCGTCTTCCGTGAAGGAGAAAGAATGAAAGAACACCTCCCGGGCGAAACGAGGAATGAACGGATTCCCTCTAACGAAGAGCCACTCTCCGACAGACGGGCCCCTTCCTCGAAGCTGGAAAATAGACAGGCATGCCCTTTAATCAGAGAGACTACGGTTCATCCGGATGCGGGCTGTCGGCACGAATAGCTCCGCCGCCGCGATGGTTCCCTCGGAAATCATTTTGGCTGTCGCCAGCTTTTGTTCCGCGCGTTCCCTTTCTGATGGAAGCGTGAAAAGCCACGGTATGGGGAAACACGAGAAGTCGACTCGGTAGTTTGAAGACATCCCGAAATCTTCCAACTTATCGGGCCGCGTTGACTGAGCGCACCGGATGGATTGCTAGAAATCAAAGATCCGATATTCCTCTCGCAGTCCCCGCGAACGCCCCTTTGTGCGCGGGAAACATGCAGCGATTAGACGAAACGAGGACGCTTGGAGAGGGGCTAATTTTGGGGGGGCGGACCTTTCACCAGACGGAAATGTTCATTAGCGCCTGAAATGGACGGCCATTGATCGACGTTTCCCGCCCAGACAGAGTCGACGAGCTCCATTCGATCCTGTCGCAGTCAATCGATGTTTTCCTTCATTCTCGCTCAACTCCTCTTTCTCTATTCCAGGAAAGCTCGGAGCGTGCCAGTCCTCAGGATGACGTAGTTGCCGAACTACCCTGTAGTCCAGCTGTGAATCGCAAATCGAAGTTTTCATACAACCCACTCAGGGGTGCTAGGCACTCTTTCTCCATTGACTACGGTGATGTCTTGCCTGTGCCTAGGGGTAACAGGTGCGTGCGAGCCTGGACGTTTTTCCACCTGAACGTTTAAGTTTTTGTCGTTCAGTCAGAACTTGGACGTTTTTCCACCTGAACGTTCAGGTTTTTGTCGTTCAGTCAAAACTTCTCGACACGAAGTGCTCTCGAACGTATCTGCCATCGTTCATCTCTCGTCCAGTTCTCAGATAGAGGAAGAAAATGAAAAGATAACTTTTTTCCTCGGACTCGGAGCGAACAAGCGATCCCATCGCATCGCGGAAGCCATTAATTTCAGGAAGGTAATTTCAGAAAGCCGCACAACACGTTAACTGGCACCCCCACGGGAAGAACGCCGAGCAACGGGCAGCCGGATAAGGCACAGTATAGAGTAGTTTTTCTTGGTGGCGCAAAAGTTGGCAAATCCGCTATCATCCACCAGTTTCTCTACGAAAAGTTCTTACACGACTATAGCGCGACCGTCGAGGAGTTCCACAGGTACGTTAAATGCTCACGCACGCTTCTTTGATCGTTCCGCTTGGCAGTACTGAGGCGAGCCTTTTTTTTTGCCACGTTGTATCCGTTTCTGCCTTCGGGATCCGGGTTAGAAGACCGAAATCCGTGGTCCGGAAGCAGCTGAAGTGGCGAGCCCTCTCGTCCATTCCGTTATCTGGCATAGTGATCACTCATAAGAGAAACTCTGGCACAATCCATTAAAGCGGCTCAGGCGACCTTCAGCGTAATTGCACTGAAAGTCACTGAATCTCAACGACTCTCCCAGGAAGCAAGAAGTGGCCCTGTTTGATGTTTTCATCATTCCCTCGTTCCTCGAGAAGTTCTTTTTCTTTCTCCCGAATCGATTCGCGTCCCCCGTTCGGAAAAGCGAGAAGGACCCACGCTCAATGGGAGGGAAATCACTCAAGACTTCCCTGCGACGACCTTCGCTCTCGGCAGCAACTCTTGATCGTTTCAAATACCAGATCGAGCGTCCTTGCTACTCCTGCTCCGATTAGAGTTCTCGTGCCGTGTTTGTCCAAAGGCTTGACTTGAATGCGCTCAGATCAGAGAATCGCTGAGTAATTCCCTTCTCGTATCTTCCACGTCGTTCTGTTTTTGATGGAGTCGTCGACCTGCTTTCTCGGCGGAACTTTCTTCCCGTGCTCCTTGACTTCCCCGCGCTACCGAGGAAGTCCTTTGCCGCAGCACTCTTTACGCTCCTGGAAGCTTTATGGAAGTAATTAGAGCGTCTCCCGCATTCCAGAGGTGAATACGACGTGGGTCTTGAAAGCAAAGTATCTCTCGACATCCTCGACACGGGAGGTAGCTGCGAGTTCCCCGCGATGCGAAGACTGGCCATCGGTGAGTATTCTGCAAAATAAATCCTTTCCTCGGCAACAAGTGCATAGGTCCGTGGAACGAGTTCGGTCCCCTCCATGAACGCGTTAGCTCGACGTGTTCTAGGAGCACCATCCATATTCTTGCCCGAAGAGTCTCCGCGGGCACCGGGAGTGCGCGTACCTATTTTCTCTCCTTGCACGGAATTCAAGCTCGGCCGGTGCCGTAATTAACAGAACGCTCCACTCCTGATTACATGAGAGCAGCTCGCCTCCGATGCCTTGTACCATCAATAATAGACTCACGAGCTGATGATGAATGCATTTCGACTTTTTTCCCGTCACACATCGAGTTAACCAGGCGTTCGTTCGGAGGCGTCCGCGCGAGACCGGGGATGGTCGTTTCATTCTCGGAGTGTTGGAGCTGAAATTCTCCATTTGACATTGTCATCCGGGCTCTCTGACATTTCCAAGCGAATCGGTCCTGACCACCAGCATTATCCACGTCAAGCTCCACGAGGAGATAGATGCCCATCAAACGTCAGCGCTTCGATTACCAGAGCGGTCAACGACGTTCCGTAATGTGACCTGTGGGCGGCATCGAAGTGAATTCATGCGACACGATGTCGTGCAATGGGACGTGATTGGGAAATTTGAGTCAAATCAGCGAGAGCGTATTCCGCCCAGGCACGAATGACGTCGAGCTCCTGTTCTCTGAAGACCCTCTGGCTCCCGAATTGGTTCGTATGCTCCACTAGCGGGAAAACCAGGCTCCGTTCCTATTTTTCTGCGGAGCAGACGGTGAGCGACGGCCAGAGTTCAGAGATCACAGGTCTAAGCGCGATCAGTGGGTCCGGGTTTTATGGGTCTATTGAAAATCGATGTCGGTTGCATGAAGTTGGTCGGCGAACCGAAGACTTTCCGTGATCCGGATTCAGCCGTGGCAGTATGCGAGCTTAGGGTAGTTATCGGCAAGACAAGGACCTCAGTGGAGAAAAACTCCAGGCACTCAGGTGTTTCGGATGCCCAATGGGACAACTTCGTAAGGAGATTCTATTTTGAGACGCAGAAGTTTGTCATTGCGAAGTTAGGGTAGCAACCGATGCTCAAGCCGCAAAGAGGAGGCTAGACAGCGATAATAACCCTCGACCCGAATCAACCTCATCCACCCACCAGGTTCAGGAGACGCGTTCGTTTTGGTGTACGCCGTCGACAACGAAAGCTCGTACGATACGGTGCGAACACTCCGTGATGACATTCTGCAGCTGCGTCAAAGTGACAAAACCTCGCCACCAATCGTCGTTGTCGCAAACAAGGTACGTACCAATATTCAAGTGCTGCCTTTCACAGCTTCCATACGCCAACGGCATTCATCGTCGGAATGCGAAGCGCGGATACGTGCAGATCCAATTATCACGACAGACACCGAGCTATTCCGGTGTGGCTGCAACCATTCAAGTGAAGCGTGTTCTCTTCTCCGTCCGGGATCGATACGCTCGTCGCTGAGCACTCCGTTCAAGCTCCGCGATCCCAATGGAGACGGACTTGGGCCTTTCAGGTTCCGAGTTCCGAGTAATTATAGTGAAGAGCGCTCCCTGTCGCTCCCAATGACACGGAAGCCGGGAGGTATCTGTTCAACGGCTGTATTATGGTATTTTTTTCCAGACCGATCTACCTTCGGAGAAACACATTGAGAGCATAGCTTCATCCATGGTGGAGCCTGTCGTATGCATGGACTGGGAGCACGCCTTCGTCGAGTGCTCAGCCAAAGACAACGCGGACGTAGTACACGTATTCCAGGTAGGTTGCGCTGAGACGTATTTCCCCAGTCTCCCACACGCCCATGTCGACATGAAATTGCTGGAGACGTCCTGCCCTAATCCAGGCAACTGCTTGCTCATTGTTGCAGGAGCTCTTGGCGTTATCCCCGCTGAAGAAGCAAACTCCTCCAGCTCGGCAAGCCGGTTTCCGCAGGATGTCTCTACCTGTGACATCGCTTTCCGATCAGTTGGGCTCTCTCAGCCTCACCAAGAGTCCAGGCCACAAGAAAAAACGGGACAGCTGTCACGTATCATAAGTGGTCCTTGGCGACGACAAACCTCGTTCTCCTCTTGAGACAGCAACACCAAAGACAAAAACCTCAACCGACAAATAGACGGCAACAGCCAACCTGTTGCTCTGTACAATTATTATGCACGGCAGTGGACGCTGGACGAGCGAAGAAACAGTATAATCACTCGCCGGGTATCGCTTCAATAATTTGCCTCAGTCAGAAGACGCCGCCCCCGCAGGCAGGTCGGAGAACGGACGAATCGAATTCCAGCGAGCAAGCATTCTCGAGTGCGTTGGCGTGGTCGAACCGCGTCGTCTCTAATAAAAATTCGATGCGATCCTTTCGGTGTCAATGGAGCGCCTCCGATTACTTACTAGACCTCCGTGAGCATACGGTCGTTTTCGTCGATGCCGCCGCCGTTGGTGCTGTCAGTGACTTCGACCGCGTTCTTCCGGCACAAGAAGAAATACAACACGCCCACCTCCTCAGTGTACGGATAGGTGCGTAAGATAGTTCTAGTGTCGAGATATCCTGTTAAAGCCCATTACCTGTGATAAGAGTTACTACCGGACCATACCGAAAGCTGTTTGGGCGAGATCTCTGGGCCCAAATGTTGACTACGGCAATTCAGCCCGAAGCGACAACAAGAGGCAACCTTGATGATTGCGTCGACTCAAGAGCACCAACAACAACAACAACACCCACTCAGAGCAGAGGAGCCCAAGAAGAGTCCTAGGATTAACTCCCGACAGAGGATTCCCTTCAAACGAAGATATATTATCCCGAGTGTCCGCCATCGAACATTATCGGGATGTTCTCTCGATAAGTTCGAATCCTCCAAGTCTTCCTGCGCATGCGGAGGATCCCGGTCCTGATTTTATATGGTGTAGAGCAGGCTCGCGGGCCGATTTTCGGTGAATAATCGCGACAATTTCGAAATACCCGATCGACGCATCGATCACGAGCTCTGTCGACCAACAGGGACTAAAGAGCCACAGAACGCTCATTCAGCCGCGGAAATATTCGGTCGAGCATGAATGTAATGACGTACGTTTGGTTCTCAAGTTCAAACCGCCAGTAGTCGGGATCCAGAGTGGGAACGGAGGGACGCTGCTTGATCGTCTCTTGGTCTCCTCTGTCATTCGGAGTCGCTGTCGCTTCATTGTCTCACTCTGCCTGTTAAATCATACCAGTATGTCGCTAACATTGCCATGGCAATAAACCCTTTTACACCCGTGAACGTAAGTGATTCTCATTGATAGCACCTCTGACTTGGTCGTCGTGATCGCTGTAGGTATGCTCGAGTTGGATCGTTCGGTTTCGGAAGAGCCCCCGTTCACCCAAACTTGAATCGATACAAGTACTCGAGGGGATTTGCCACGACCTCCTTCTGTTCTGCCAGAAAAGCGGAGCACAGAACGGTCGACATTCAATGACCGCATTTTCCTCAATTGTCGGAGAGCTGAGATGAGGGAAGGAGTCGCTGCTGCCCGGTTTCAAAAAATATGTTGGAAAAAATATGACGCGCGGTCTCATCCCCGGCTCACTTGTCGACTCTCCCGAATCTCCGTCGAGACGAGTTTAGAGAAATGTGACGTTTTCCGAAGACTTCTATTGTTCCCATCGGCCCCGTTGCACACATGGCCGATTTCGCGGTATCATTAGTGCCTCGATCTCGAGGAGAAAATCTCCACGCAGACTCGGCGCTAATCACTGCGCAAATTATGCCCAGACTCGTTCTGGGACACGTTGAGACCTCGCTATTCTGAGAGCAATGGAAAAAAGCCATAATACCATCGGCTGACTCAGCGTTGTCTCGGAGCACACGGGTCATGGTCGGTATCACGCTTACTCGCATGACCTGTTCCGGCGAAGCCCAAGACGGGAAAGCCCACAGATGATCCTTGCGGATCGGAAAAAAAATCTCTCTCTTCCGTTTCCATAAGCACATTTCGAAGATTTTAAATGAGCTGCTCGTCATTCACTCGATCCCACGTCGGACCCGTCATTCCCGTCTATCTTCTCTCCGTCGCTACGGTTTAAATCCGCCGGAATCCTTCTCCGTGCCAAAGCTTCCAGCCATTTTGTCTCGCAAAGCGAAAAGCTCTCGATCAATCGGGTTTCCGCAGTCGCGGTCTCTTTAGTAATCTCGGCGAGCTTGTCATGGAAACTTGTTGCGAATGCTTCCGGCTGGAAATCGCGCACATCGTCGACGAGGCGCCGAATCGACACAATGCCGCTGGGCGGTGGGGGACCCAAGGGCGCCCAATCGCAGAGCAGCTCACACAGTGCGTCGGCGTAAACACGGAACAAATCCCCTAAAAGGTTCGTCCATCGGTCGTTGAAGCTATCGAGAATTCCTCGAGCCTCGTCCAACGCGTCTGGGGGCTCTTTGTTCGTGATCCGTCTCGTACGCGACAGCATCTCGAGTGCATCCGTCTGAGCGAATTCCTCCACGAGGGTCCTCACTCGCTCCAGATGTCGATCCGGAAATTTCGAGACCGCTACCTGCAACCAGACACCTGACTGAGATCACCGAGTCCGAACTTGGGTCTCCGATCGTTCTTTCAGGCATAGGGACGAACTTGGCGGCGCAACGTAGAAACACTTGTATACGAACGGGAAAATCGATACAACAGATAGTAATTTCCGTCAGAGCCTACGAATCGGAATGCGGCGCGGCGCATGGAATCTATGCGTAGTGCACATCCATGAAGGTCCGAGCTGAAGCTGAGGGCGAATATTCGGAGTCAGACCCGAGGAATCTCAACCTACCTCAGCAGGGCTCGATTGACCGATTTTGGCGATGCCGACCACCAGGGCTGGCAGGATAGTCCCCACGACGATTCCATCTGGTCCGAGTATTTCATTAGCGCGGAGTATCGATTCCCGGATAGCCCACTCAGTTTCGTTGCGCAGAACTCGATGATGCGGGGATTTGACATGAATATTCATTTCCATTTCGTCGTTCTCGGAATAGGAAACCAGAAATATCGCGGGAACGAAATTTCCTGACAATTGATTCCGGAAACAGATCGTGTCAAGCTTGACAAGGAGGGCAAAATGGAGATCATTCGAATGAGCGATCGACGCGACGCTCACTTCGAGGGTCTCGAGAGAGGTCTCTCGCCTCAACGAAGCTTCTTTCTCTTCACCCTGATCGAAGGGCGTTCAAGTTTGCGAAGATATGGGCAATCTATCTTCCGAATCCCAGACGTGGACCGACAGCTCGATGGCTCCGAGCGATATCATATGATAGAAACTAGACCCGAGCCCCCATGCAGTAACGAAGCCGGCGCGAATTTATAGCCTCTCCAAGACGATGCGATATAATAACGCCCGAGCGGAGTCGACGTGTTCACACGCTAGAAATGCAATAAGGCCGCTAGACCCACGCTGTGCAGTTGATGAAAGATTTTTAATTACTTTATCATTCGGTTATATCTAATAGGGGAGGGATGCATGAGCGAACTCGCTGCGATCGCGCCTGCATCACGTCCATTTCTCCGTCCATCCGCCCGACGGTTCGCGGATCCGTCGGCTCGTTTGTCCGCGAACACTTCTCGTTTCGGCTCGAGAAATATTCATGGACGGCACATCTAATGCGAATGCTTCATCGGATGCTCGGCCATTCCGTCCAAGATGAACGGACGGTCTCCATTTTCGCACACCAGGACCTGCGGGATGTAGGCGATAAGGTGCAGCGTTTCGGCTGTAGCGGGCTCGGACTCGTATGTTGATCCACATCCGGCCGCGCTTTTCGAACGTCATACTATCCATATGGATCAGAAGATGAATTTCGAATAAAAGCCGTCATCGATCCCGGAAGGAGTTGCTGCCACCCACTTTCGTTCCGCTCAAGGAAATTCGCGGAAACTCCCTACTTCCCGGGGATCAGGAGCGAGCGTCGAACGTCGGAAGCAGCGACCTGGGGATCCACGCGGGGAAATCCACCCACTCCTCGGCGAGAATCGCGATGTGACGAGACACCGGAAGATAATAATCATAATAAGAATGAAGAGCAAACATTCGATTCTAAGTGCCCCTGTTGAGGGAGGGCTCTCAGCTATTAAGACACGGTGAGCTCCGATCAGGAGAGATGTCGATGAGGTAGGAGTTAGAAGTTTCGAAATTATCAATCTGGGAGCCCGCGCGGGAGACGTTCCGTGACTCGCCCTCAATCGCCCAGCTTCGCTAGCCAGCCTTGCGCGAACTTCGAGAGTCCCGCGCAGATGGCGCTCGAACGTCGCATTTTCGATGACGAAGCTCAGAAGAATCGTCTCACTGAGTCAGATTACCGGTCGGTGATCTCTACGTCTAGAGTTGATCATGAGCGGGATTCGAGGCCTTTCACAAAACAAACGCCTTGGATCTCGCCTGCGGCGTCGCCTTCACGTTCAGCATCCTGTCAAGCCTATCTTCACAGGAGCTCGAAGATTGTTCGACAAAGGCGTTATCGAGGGGGAGAATCACTATGTTCCTGAACCATGTGCAAGATGCTGAGGCCGTTTATTCGCAGCAAGTGAATACGATCGAACGGATTCGCATCCGCAATCTTCGTACATATATGCTTGGATATTCCAGAGCGGAGAGACCTCTCGGGATCCCGCTGTACGAACTCCCCCGCCCCGTTCCTCTAGTGAACCTTTCAATACAGTCTGCGTCTTGCATTCCACTGCTGCAGTGTGTGGGAACCTTCCCCCTTATTCTTACGGAAGCAATTATTCTCGCGAACTCCACGTTCAGGACTCGCCCTCGGAAATAATCCATTTCTCGTCGTTTCTCCTTCCTCTGCTTATTTGGCCCGTAATGAGTACCGGCGGAGGACCCCTCTCCAAGGAAACATGGTTTGCTCATCAAGCAGAAGTCTTCTTGATGTATACGAATACGCTTTCTGTTCTGAAGCAGCTCCTCGAGATCAGAGACGCGTTCCGGTTTGCTGGCGGGAACGGCTGAGACTTTGTGAAGGGGAAAGGGACCTCCCGTTGGATTATTCCTCATACCACCTGGAGGACGGCCAGTGAATGCGCGCGCCATCCTGGATATAAGCTCTCCCCGATATAATCTCATTATAGATACCCGGTCACCCTGGCTTCCTCCTCGGAGGAATCTTTTTCTCCAATTGAATAGGATTACATTCCAGCTAGGGGACTTCCTCTTGGGAGCTTCGACGAAAAACTGAGTTTGCAAAACTTTCATCACCTCGGGACACGGTTCGAGACGGTTTCCGAGAGGAAATCGTGTTGGATTCGAGAGCCCGTCGTCTGGCGAAATGCCACTGCTGGAAGTCTGTCGCGAGAAGACTCTACCGAGAAAACAAGAGTGATCGTGACGCAAGTCTGAGTTGTTCGCACTAATCTCATTGCGAGAGCGGAAGCAATCAAGGCAGCGACGACAAATCGATTTTAAGTATACACCAACTTGTCGCA